AACAGAATTCCTTATTATTAGCTGTAAGTTTATGAATTTAAAATGCTAAAAACAACTTGAGTTCATCAGGCAGTGGAATAAAAAAGCAAACTGTAGTTCAAGGATGCACAGAAACGCTACTGGTGTGGTCCGATGAATGTGCCTCTTTTATGTTCCTCAAGACATGTCAGTGGAAAAAGATTTCATCAATACATAATTATGCCCCAATGCATCCTTCTTATTCCATTTGAGTAAGAAAGTACATCTGAAATGCCAAAATAATTCTCTGTAGTTTACCACCATTTCTAAGGATATATTTCATCACTGAATGGCTCTTGAAGCAATAAATTTACTGCCTCTGAATGGGTTGCCAGATTTGTTATATGACAGTCTTGAGAGTGAGATTTAATGGATGGTTCACCTGACATACAATGTCAACATCACTTGCTTTATTCTATGTAGTAAATGTAGTTGGTTTTATTTATTTTGCTTTTCTTTTAAAAGAGATGTTGGGAGAGGTGTATGTATTTTAGCCAGTAAAACTAGCATGTGTCACTGCTACTCCAGTAACTGTATTTGTAAAAGGTACCGTTTTTGTATGTTAGAATCATATTTCAAAAGATGAGGCTACATTTTCCCTCTCCCTCAGATGTAAAGGTCTGTAAAAACAACATGCAACGAACGTGACTGCATATGGTAAAACTTTTCATCTTTGTTTAGGTTCCTGATTACTACAAAATAATCAAAAAGCCTATGGACTTGTCAACCATCAAGAATAGACTTCAAGTGAACGATTCGTTCTACACAAAGCCAGAAGATTTTGTGGCCGACTTCAGACTGATTTTCCAAAACTGTGCTGAATTTAATGAGGTTAGAGAAGTAGACACTTTATCTATTTTTGTAGGCTTATATACTTTCAGGAAAACTACAGTGGGGTTAGAATTTACTTATTTAATTAAATTACATTGATGATAAGAGCCCAGAGAAAATGTAGATCACATTTAAGACTACATTGATGTTAGATGAGTATGCAAATGAGATCCTTCTATTGAAGGGAGGAGAGCTGTAACAAACATGCCAACTGAAATGGCAGGAAAACAGGTAAGGAGAAAATGATTTTTCATCATAGATATTAGTGGTGAGCATTTGATTGAAAACTTGGTTTCATACTTATTGCATTATATCTGAAATTCGTTGGAATTTTCGTTCTCAGAAGTCTTACCCTTATTTACCCTGAGACTAAATGACTTAGTCTGTTGTCTAAACCCTCACTGTAAGGAAACATTTGCTGAAAAGGGAGTGCAGATACTGAGTGGACAAAAAGAGAGAGAATTAACAATGAAAACTAGGTTTCTCTAAGTGTCTTCACTTAGGTTCTCATCCAGGGCAGTTGCTGGGTATACTTACTGCTATGGTGACCTCCACTTCAAGAGACAGGTCAGCCATGGTGGGTATGAATGACTTCAGGACTGCCTGGTCTTCTGAGATGCAGTCATTGTCCATTACTAGTAATATTCTTGCCATAATTAGAGCTAGGTCTGTAACCTAGAAAAATTACAGCATTTCGTGTAGCCGTTCTCTTAGCAGCCTTGAGACATACCTATATATATTCTCAATGCTGCTTGACTTTTGTAGCTTGTAAGAGCACTTGAAGAACACGAATATAAAGCTATTTCATGATGTGTTGATGTTGTTAATTCACCCAACAGCCTGATTCAGAAGTGGCTGATGCCGGCATGAAGCTTGAAGCATACTTTGAAGAACTACTAAAGAGCCTTTATCCTGGGAGGAAGTTCCCTGTACAATCTAACTGCCAGAGTGAAAAAGATAATGCAGAACTTAGTGATGACTCAGATGATGACATTGTACAGCCTCGGAAAAAACGTCTCAAAGGAGAAGACCGTCAGTTGCTTAAATGAGTCGCATGTGGAACGCTTTTTAAAAACTAAGGGTATTTATCACTGACAGTTGTTGCAAGGGAAAGAGTCGTGACTGCTTTGACCTGGAGGTCTGTGGACATTTACTTGACTTTCTCCCCCTTATCTGAAACACAATTCTAGGGGAGATCCAGAGCTGCAGAGAGCTTCCTTGAAGTTCCAAGTTTGCAGCATACTTCTGGAACTGCGCAGAAACTGTGATTTGTATGGGATGACAGCTGTTTAACTTTACTTTGAAGAAGAAAAGAAGTTTGTATAGAACTGAACTTTAAGATGTTACATAGGTTCAACATATGGTTTTCTGAGTTTGAAGAAAATGTGATCTCACCAGACATTTAATTTTACCAAAGGCATGTGGCTGGCCATGATTTGGTTTCTTTGTACTGTATTTAACACAAGCCATGAAAACAGATGTTGTAATATTGTTGTCCTGCAATACTGGCTGATACAATGGAAGTGTAGTTGCCCCTAAAGAAGTTATTGGTTAATTTTAAAATGTGAGGGAGAGCGTATTAAAAATAACTTAAAGAAAAAAAGGAATTTGAGAGTTTTTAATAGAGAAAGGAAAGGACATGGTGCTTCGTTTTGTGTACCACTTTCCCACAGTCAGCAAGAAACAGTGCTATTCCTATACACTATGTTGTTTAAAAGGTACCTCAAAAGTTTGATGTACTTCTGTTTAATGGACTTTAGAGGGGAAGACTCAAGGGAAAGAGCATTTGTTTGCAACTATCAAGCTTTTTGGTAAGCTTGGGGGAAAAGAAAAGTGTCTTTTCTGTCCACAAGATCTTATTGTTTTTCCAAATTTCTAAATATTATTGTGGGAATGCAGCCAGTGTTAAATAAACAAGTGTAAAGGAGAGGGGAGGGCTCTAGGAAAAAAAAAGATCCAGTTCCTTGAACCCTCATCTGTCCTTGTTAAAATCACCAGAAACTAAAGACAAACGATGTTGGGATTTACTTTTTTTTCTGCTTTCCAGAAGTGGTGATAACAATGTAGATGGCTGTTTCTGCATTCAGCAGTGGCAGATTGAAAGTACCTGTCTATGATTGCCTCAGCTATTGGTTTATACTCTTCACATGTGTCATCTGAAGTGAAAACTGTCTTTTTTTTAGGAAGAGCAGACAATCTCTTGGATAAATTGAGCTGATTTGCACCAGAGTTTTGCAGATGGATTTATGAAGACATCTGTGTTTACACAGACCTGCTTTTTACTTGTTATGTAGCACTAATATGGGTGCTACGGATAGATCCTCGCAAGCCTAAACAGAAGTGCTGCTTGTTCTTCCCTGCTGTGTACATATACCCTCAGCAAAAGGGCACATCTTTTTCTTTTACCTTCTGAAGCTGTTCACCTGCCTTTATCCTAGAGTGGCCCTGCATATTTAAATGCTGTGGACATTTCAAAAGAACACTCAGCTGTGCTTGCAGCTGGCCTTTGACAGTCAATACAGCTTTTGAAGTGCTGTGGTGGTTTGACTGGGTGTTGAGCTTCCTAGAGTAACTATTAATTTATCCTTTTAAAATTATTATTTTTAATTGCCTGAAGGGAGTTGCTTGTAGCAGGAGCTCTGCCATCCCAGAGTTCCAGGAAAAAACGAGAAGTGAAAGTGAAGGAGCTGAACAGGATGGTGAGGGAGACCATTTTAACATAACAGGCACAACACTGCTTCAGAAGCACAGAGTTAAGAAATGAGAGGCTCTGTCACTGCAGCATCTAATGTTACAGAAGTCCTAGATACCCAAGTCAAGTTAGCTATGCTTCCAGAGAAAGCTGATGAATGTTTCTCTAGACCTGAAGCTGCAAGCAGAAGTTTCATAGAATGCTTGGTGCAGTTAGAGGTGAAGTTTGACATCTATGTAGCTTCATCTACAAGTTGTTCTCTCAGTGAGAGATACTGGAGAGGAAAGTTAATGTACTTTTGCAGTCCAGTTGCTGCTTTCTCTTCTTTTGATTCTCCCCTCATAACTGACAACTTTTTGAAATAACTGTACAGCAACAGTGGAACAAATTGAAAATAGTTTATTCAGAAAGAACCCCCCCTCACAAATCACAGTATGTTTTGTTGGGGAATGTGGTTAAGAGTATAAGACTATTCTGCAGTCTGTTTTTCATTCAGACATTTTTCTTCTAGTACTGCAACAGTTCATAGAATCCGCAGCACTATAGATCAAAACAGACATCTCCCGTGATGGAGGTGGGACAGAAGCTAAAAGGAATTACCTTACATCAGTCCATTTCCTGTTGTCGTTGAGAACCAGTTGTGTATACATAGGAAAAATGTAAAAAGAGGAGAAAAAAAAAAAAAAAGACTTGTTTTACACAGTTCTTTACTAGGTTGGAGGAAGAGATTGTGATAAACAATGCAGGTGCCACTTGCCCAATAATAATCATCAGTAATATTGATGGCCAGCCAACTACTTGGCTGAGTCTTGCATCAACTGTGGAGACATGGAAGCTGACAATTGAAACGGTTAGATTTGAATGGGCAAGTGTGTGTGCTTTAAGATGGCAAGCCAGAGCAAACAAGATGGATCGGGATAGCTCTGTCAGCCTGCGACATCACAAATGCCTCAGTACAGAAAGTGATTAAAACAGGTCACCAAAGAACTTCAATTTGCTAACCTGTTCACCAGATGCTTCCTGAGAGCCTCATTTGGATGCTACCATCAGGCACAAGGACAAGACAACTTTTTCAGTGATCTGTTTGATCTTGTCTCTGTTTAAATAATCTGTGGGGAAAAAATCTGACTCAGCTTTCATCTTGTGGTTTTAAATGTCACCCTAAGGACCATCTGAAATTACCACTGCAGTGACATTTGAGATGTTAAACTTAGCTTTTGATGCAGGTGAGATAATAGCATTCCTCAAACATTTGTTCTTTTGTTTTTTAAAAGTAAGTACTGCGTCCTCCCAAGCTGCTATGGCAAAAATCCTGTTGTCCTTGTGTATTTTTTTCTTCTTTGTCCATTTAATCAATTAGGGATGATGTTTTTCATTCCTTTTTTTTTTTTTTTTTGTGTGTGTGTGTGTGTGTGTGTGTGGCATAACATTAGAAATAGCACTAGCAAAGAGTCTTCATGACATGGATAGAAAACATTTTTATTGAATCGTAAGAAGGGGAATCTACTTGAGGAAGCTACCCTTGGTCTATGCAAATCATAGCTCTTACACTGATCGGTTCCATTTTTATATAATGGAAATGGTATGGAGAAGCAATCAACATCAAATGTGGCTCACAGGAAATGATGGATTCCAAAGGTTTCTTTTTCTTTTGTACCCAATCCAACATCAAACGCTTTCATTTTACTTGCTAAGAGAAGGGGAAAAAAAGCAACACAAAAACCATAAAATTAACAGAATGCACATGAAAAACAGCAGAAATGAATACAGAGGGAAAATAATATCCATTTGAATATGCGTCCAAAATGTTTTGCCTCTGATTGACAATTCCTGTAGCTACTTTAAGAATAAACTGATGCTGTCCTAATAAACTGAAATAGGTGTAGATAGAGATTAGAATCAAGGAATGGTTTGGGTTGGAAGGGGATTTAAAGATCAGCTGGTTGCAAGGGCAGAGATGCCTTGTGCTAGATCAGGTTGCCCAGGGCCCCATCCACCCTGACTGAATGCTTTCAAAGAGGGGGCATCCACAGCTTTTGAATCTTCCGTTTTTCTTTTCTCACCCTGCTGGCCACTCATCTTTTGGTGCAACCCAGGATATGGTTGGTTTCCTGGGCTGCAAGCACACGTGGCTCAGTGTTGCCAGTGAATTGTATCTGTCCCAGTACGGAACCCTGATGGTCACAGCTCCTCACTCATTGAGGACAATGCCAGCCAGACCATGGGTCTGTATGCTTTTTACTTTTCATTTTAGATTCCACAAGATTCATTCAGTTGTTTTGTTTGAACCTGATATTGAGGCATGCATCAATTGTCTGGAGCCATAGGACTGAATGTTGCCATGTTATGCATTTAAATTATGACATGAATTGAATGACTGCTGTGTGACACCCTCGGACAATATGTCCAATAGCCACAGTTCAGCAGTGCCTGTATGGCTTTGCACGCACAGTGATCTCTGAAAGGCAGACTAGAGGGTCATTTGCAAGTTGAATATTAGATCTGATGCCAGCTTTTTCTGGTACACATAGTTCTGCACGAAGGAAGAAGTTGCTTTTTCCACTTCCTTTCTTAAATTCATGTATTTTTTCCAATCTTTTACAGATTTTCATATAGATGTTTTAAAGCATCATAAACGGTAGTCCTTATTTTTAAAAAAGAAGCAGTCAATTATTAATAAATTGCTTTCTCAAAAACCCTAAGGCTAACTGTCCCATGCACCTTGTGGAAACTGAAGATGTGGCCCAATGAACTTGTGTGTGTGTATACACATATGATGTATGTATGCACGTGTTTGTATACAATTTTTTTAGTCTGGTCCTGAATCTGATATCAGGTTAATCAAACATCTGTCTGGCCCTAGGCTGCTAAAGAGTCTGGATTACCAATCCTATGATTTTCTGGCTTCTATGGGTGAGACTGCAGAAGAACATGCAGGAAGAGGACATGCGTCTTCTATGACACGAAAATTCCCATGGCCTTACAGCTAAATTGCCTATAACTGACTTTCCTTCTTGATCTTTGGGCATGTTTTGTCTCATTGCCTCTAGAGCCTTATAGGAAACACTAGCCATAGGGTTTAGGTTAATGGGCTGATGGAGCAAGGGCTTTTGAATTGAATTTGGTGTCAAAGTGGCTTCAGTACTTTAAGGTGTTAATTGTTAGCTGTTATCTTCTCTGCCTGCAGCAGAGGAGAATAGGTGCAGCAACTTCAGATGGAGACCAGCGATAGCAAAGAAGGGCTTGCACTAATTTATGCTAACATGCTGTAGTGAGGGAGCTAGGGCTAGAGCAGGCATTCCTGTTCTTCTATGAGAAATGAATTTAGGCAACTGGGGTAACAGTACTTTCAGTTGTTATGACAGCACCTTCCTCTGTTTATCTCTCAGTTCTTGTTTTGGCTTATGAACCCTGAGAAAATTTTGGTTTCCTTTCTGGCTGAATCAAGATTTACTGTTTCTAGGTAGCCTGTAGACAGGGAGAAGCTCCAGGAGAGTCCATACAAACCTGCAGTGCCCTGCCCTTGGTCTCAATGGGTAGCGTGAAGGCAGAGATTGCACACACAACACACACAGATGAGAAAAGACACAGGGCCCCAAGGAAAGATGCACTCATAAGAACCTGCAGATTAAAAGAAAGAAAGAAAGAAACAGTTCAAACGTCTGTTCAATGCTGTGGGAGCCCACCACTTAATTAGAAATTAGAGAGTGGGCAATGGGTTGCAAATGCCTGGGGGACTCAGCAACATCCAGAAAATGCCACTCATGAAATCTGTAAGTTTTCAGAAAGCAGCAAATAATAGCAAGATCCACGTCTGGCAAAGACTGTCCAAGTGCTCTGCATAAATATCACATAAAGAACAAATCAGTTTGAAAAAGCAAACCAGACACCGAGATTGAATGCCTCCCCCTTTTCTATTAACTTCAGGGACATCCCTGTGTATTTGATGGTAATGTTAGACTCAAGGCTTACTGGCATTGTCGACAGTGCTCTTACTTGTGATATGAATGGTGCCACCATAGCTCCAACACGGCACAGTGACCCACTGGTTCCCATCCCCAAGGCTCGCATTGTGGTGGGATAAACCTGACACAGGTTAGAAAGAAATCAGATTAGTGTAACAATAATCAGTGATATGTGTTCTCATTCCACCCCCCTTTTTTTTTATTTTCCTCTTTTCCTCATGTAGACCCTTGCATTATCAAAAGCAGTCAGTGGGAGAAGATGCGAAAAGATTTAAAGATTCCTTTGCATCTCATTCATTCCATTGCAATTCTGCCATTTCATGTCCAAAGTAGAAGTTGAAGGCAACATGTACACAGACATCTTTCCTTCATCTGCACTGAGCTGCTCAGGCCAAAGTCACAGACCATAGGCTTGGTGCTAAAGAGAGAATTCAATTTATATTGCCTGACTATGTGTCTGGAAAGCAGGAGAAAAAGAGATTGTCTGCAGCCTTCAAGACAGCCTACTTACTCACATCAACAGCACCTTTGTTTAGAAGGAGGAAAAAGAAAGGGAAATCCTGATAGGAAACATCCAGGCTTAGAGAAATAGAATTATAGATTCATTTGAGTTGGAAGGGAATTTTAAAGTTCATCTCGTCCAACTCCCCTGCCATGAATCTACAGCTTGATCAGGGTGCTCAGAGGCCCTCCAGCCTGGCCTTGACTGGATATCTACCACCTCTCCAGGCAACCTGTTCTAGTGTCTCACTTACTGTAAAAAACTTCCTTATGTCCAATCTAAATCTCTCCTCTTTTAGTTTGAAATCATTTCCCTTTGTCCTATCACAACAGACGTTGTAGGGCTGTGCTCTATCCTTACATCCCCCAGCTTGTACTGGTAGTGAGGGTTTCCATGACCCTGGTGCAAGACGTTGATTGCACTTGCCTTTGTTGAACCTCATGAGGTTCAGCTGGGCCCACTGCTCAAGTCTGTCTAGGTCACATTGAATGGCATCTTGTCCCCCGGGCATGCCAGCCACGTCACACAGCTTGGTGTCCTAATGTGCTTTGTGTATTTTTCACATCTCCCTGACACCCATGTCAGTAAAACACTTGAGTATATGCTTTGCTTCAGTGCTGTGGGAAAATCCTGATAGAAAACATCCTAACCCTATGCTTTGCTTAATTTAAGTCCCATTCATGTCAGTAGATTTTAGCAAGTGTTGTCATTTAAGTGTTTGTTTAAAGAAGGCTGGGCCAAGCCAGAGGATGTGATGTAGTTCCAGAAAAGTCTGGGATGTGTCTGGAAAGAGGTTTTTCCGAGTTTGGTTTTGATCATTGATTAAATCTTGTGTATTTGTGGTTTACAGTATGGCCATTTCAGCAATAGTTTTCACATCAACAGCATCCAATTCTGGACTATTTAAAAGCTGGTATTTAGTAAAGTCTGGTACATGCTTAAAAATAGTGTGCTATAAAAAGAAGTATGGCACACTATCAGGTCAATCAAGCTAACTACTGCTATCAGCTTCTTACCACTTACCACTCAGTCTTAAAAGGAAGAAACTAAATTCCACAGAACTCTGTTTTTATAGAAAAGCAACGTGTAAGTAACCCACAGGACTAATCATTCTGAAGATGTGTGAAGGAGATGCTCTCTGATTGGTTAAAACTATTTGCAGACACAACACAACAATTTCCATTAGTTGAGCATATACATGTAAAAAACTTCTATACTAGCTACAATAGCCAGCCTTAAGTGCTGGAAAAGGTTCCTTTCAGTGGTAGTCTGTTGTCTAACTTCAACGGGACTGAGAGAGAACAGAGATTTTTGGAAGGTGATAGTGTATAACATCCTCAGAAATAACATTTAGTAGTAGTGACCAACAAGTGACCCAGAAGGGCACTCCTTTCCTGGCTGCTCGTGTCACCTCCAGCTAGTTTTCTGATCTCACTTATGAAAACAGAGTGGTTAGGAAGCCAGAGATACTCAGTTCAGGGAAGCTGACTCTTAGCTGGTCAATGCATACAACAGCATTCCTGGCTAATGGGCTTCCATGCCCCAGAGCAGGCTCAAGTGCTGTGGCACTTCAAGTACATGGCACTGAGGGACATGGTTAGTGAGCATGGTGTGATGGGCTGGTGTTAGGATTTTCAATTATCTTAGAGGTCTTTTCCAATCTTAATGCTGCTGTGATTCCAAGTACCTTCAGCAGGACCCACCTCTGCAGTGTAAATGTAGATGGTGTTGAAGTTTGCTGAAACCAAGGCTCGCAGCATGAAGAGAAAGCCGGTCACGCCTGCACTAAAAGAAGCAGTGTGAAGCAAAGCATTAGTGTCACTGAACAGTGACAGAGACTCAGCCTGGTAGGCTTTCACTATGCTAAGGCTTTTACAAGCTTGAAGTAAGGGAAAGTTGGTTGTTGGCAAGTGTAGTGGTTTTTTTTTAGTCCATTGACAGTGCATGTTTGCTACTGCTATAATGAAACTGCAAGCAGATCTCTAGCTAGCCATGCTCAGACTAGACATAAGGCAGAAAAAACTGGAAATTATGACAATAACAGCAACAAAGCAGTTGGTACCTAAGTGAGCAGCTGTAACCCTCCTGACAGGGGCTCATTTACAGGGCTACAGGAGATGTCTACCTCTGCCATCTCGAATGGGGCCCTTCTTAGAAATTTCCCAGGTTAGTTCAATGACTACAGCTCTGGTGGAAGCGAGCAGTTACCTGGATGTGCAGATGTTGAGGAGAAGAAAGAACAGTGCCGTACATCCCATGGTGATGCACAGGCTCAGGCGCCTGCCGAGGAAATTGATGCCGAGAATGTTCAGGGGATTTACTGAGACAGAAAAGAGATCATAACGTTAGGTGTCAGGGCTCTCAGTCCTGCAGTGAGCACAAGAAGGGGAGAGGAGGTTACATGCGATCTCCCCCGCGGTGCTGATGATCATGGTCCGGTAGGCAGAAGGGCCAAAGGGGCGGCAGTAGCAGGGGCTGCGGCTCTCCTCTGAGACAGGGCCAGGGCTCTCGCTCAGAGGTGTCCTTGAGGTGCAGCCCAGGTCCCGCTCCAGCAGCTCAGCACTGGCCAAGATGACTCCGTAGTAAGCAAAAGCTATGCCAAGCCTGTAGGGAGGAGTGTGGTGTGGGTGGGGAAGGCAAGGAAAATGGCACTGGAATGCAGCAGGTTTGGGGTGCCCTAGGAACCCCCTGTACACACCAGTGCCACGGTGATGCACGATTGGCACCCTCATCTATCACCTTGAGCCTGATGACACCCACCAAATCAGCAGTCACCCAGCACACAGCAAAGCACTGCCACCTCTGTCCATGCACTTCTTCCATGGAGGAGCCCATCCCAGCTCCCAGCTCGCTGTGTGCTTGGCCATTAAGACTGGTTTGTGCTGTGCAGCAGGAGACAGCACTGCTAAGCCCCCTGATGAGGAGCCGCTGAGGGAACTGATGTTGTTCAGTCTGGAGAAGAGGAGCCTCAGGGCAGACCTTACTGCTCTCTGCAACTATCTGAAAGGAGGTTGTGGTGAGGTGAAGGTTGGCCTCTTCCCCCAGGTCACAGCAACAAAACAAAAGTTAATGGCCTCAAGTTGCACCAGTGGAGGTTCACGATGGATATTAAAAATATTTCTTCTCAGAAAGGGTGGTACTGCAGTGTCACAGGCTGCCCAGGGAGGTGGTGGAGCCAATGTCACAAGAGCCATGTGGATGTGGCACTGAGAGACATGGTCAGTGGGCATGGTGGGGATAAGCTGATGGTTGGACTAGATGATCTTAGAGGTCTTTTTCAGCCTTAACGATTCTATGATATTATGAAGCTCACCCATGCAATGCTGCATGTGTGCATGGTTTTTTTCTCCTTCCTATCATTTCCGTTTTACTCCAAGAAAGGAAAGGATGAGTGAAGAAGCCATGAAATCTACAACCTTTCATTAAAAGTTTAATGCCATGAGCTTGCTTGTAAGTCTTAACACACTGACATCCTTTTTGACAATAACACTGCTGCACTGGCCAGATGCTCACTGCTGACACGGCCTCCTTCTCACTCCAGTTTTAATAGAGGAAAATGCTCCTGCATGCCTCAGCTCCTCCTTCAGAGCTGGTTGTAGACTGTTGCACCACTAAGCACTGCTGCCTCTGGGCAAGAAATGCAGTGATCTAGCTGGGAATAGGCTGGAGCACCTCTCCTATGAGGAAAGGTTGAGGGAATGGGGCTTGTTTAGCTTGGAGAAAAGAAGGCTCTGGGGAGACCTCATTGTGGCCTTCCAGTACTTGAAGGGAGCTTATAAACAGGAAGGGGAACAGCTGTTTACGGGGGTGGATAGTGATAGGACAAGGAGGAATGGTCTTAAATGGAGACAGGGGTGGTTTAGGTTAGATATTAGGAGGAAGTTTTTCCACACAGAGGGTGGTGACGCACTGGAACAGGTTGCCCAAGGAGGTTGTGGATGCCCCATCCCTGGAGGCATTCAAGGCCAGGCTGGATGTGGCTCTGGGCAGCCTGGTCTGGTGGTTGGCGACCCTGCACATAGCAGGGGGTTGAAACTCAATGATCATTGTGGTCCTTTTCAACCCAGGCCATTGTATGATTCTATGTGCTGTCCAGCATTCACCCAACCTCCTGATACTTCCAGACTGGGAAGTAGCAGTGCTGTATCATGCAGAAGACAGCACCTTTGATCACTTGTATGTAGGTGGAGGCATTTCCATATTGCCCTTTCCTGCAGCAAGCCACTAACCCAGACCCCAGTTCTTACAGCTCAAATGTAGGGGCTGTCTGGGTGTCTTATTCCCCATTCTTTCTATACAGCAATTTTCCAAAGGAGTTCTCACCAGCTGGAGAGGCTCACACCGCACCCAGGCTTGCTGCCAACAACAGGGCACTGGTAGTGGCAGCCTCACTGTGTCATTATCAAATAATTCAGCATACGCCTCATCATAAGCAGGCTGAGAAGTAATTTTCACTTTTTTTTTTTTTTTTTTTTAATCCCCGCTGGCAGTTTCAGAAACAAGTTGCAGAGTGTGGGCTGCAAAATGAGCTGCCTGTGGACATGGGGATGCTGAGGGCACAAAGAGACAGGGACACAAACCTGAGAACACACCAGTGCCTCCTGGGTGAGCAGGAGAGAAAGGAGGATTAAGAAACAAGAAGAGATTTCATAATAGTCCTGCAAGTTGATGGGAAAAACATAAAATATTCAAGGCCTGGTTTAGCAAGATTTTGGTCAATGAGTTCCCACGGACCCATTATTCATACATATCCATTCCAGCCAGCAAAGTCAATGAAACATATATTACCCGTGCATACATCTACAGGGAACAAGGCAAATGAAGCCCATCTCTCTGCAATCTTACATTTTCCCAGCCAGTGGCACCGGTACCAGTCATTGGTTTTCTGTGTGAGCCCTCTATCACTGAGGGCAGTGCATGTATCTTCTCTCAGAATGAACAAACTGGCAACAAGGAGTGAAAGCAAACCGAGGGCACTACCGTGTTCACAGTGGGTAGACCAAGCCAACCAGTCCTGAGGGAATGATAAGCAAGATAAATAAATAAGTATATATATGAACACTCTTTACCATATGATCCATATCTGCAGAGTGGTTCTTAAGTACTTGGGGTGGAGGAGGTCTCTGAATCTTCCTCTTCTTTCCTGCAAATAATTTGGTAGAAAGGCACCTTTCACATCAGGGCAAATGCTTTGTGGCAGCAGCTGGTGCCCAGGCCTCAGTGCATTTGCCCTGGCCATCTCCTGGCATGGATGGATGGACAGATAGCACTGCACCCTTCAGAAAGGAAGCCCCTTTTCAGAAGATGGCTGTGGGAGGTCATGCTGCAAAGCAAAGAGGGGGGAGAAGAGAGCACCCCACACACCCCTTCAAGTTCACAGGGACAGGTATGGGATTGCCTTTCTATGTTTTATTCATTATTGGTGAAGCCTGGAAGGGTGCATGTCTAAGCAAAACCCTGTGTGTAGCCAATGTGGTTCCCTTACATAATTTCAATTAAAAGACAGGGAAGCCTTAATCCTAATTAATTCCAGTACAATGGCACCATCTTGCATGAATTGCTGAGGACAATGCTTGGTGCCTGTGGGACTAAATAAGCAGCAAAAAGGTCCAGGAAAGGGACTTAAAAGAGCTGGGCCCTGGACAATGTAAGTGTTCAGCTCCCAAGTTGCTTGGAAGAGGTGGAACTGGTGGTTGGGGAAGGCACTGGGACCAGCAAAAGGGTCTTGTCCTATGGCCACAGCCCTCAGGTACACCCCAATGGGCAGGACCAGGGTCCTGTGGTGCTGCAGACATCCTGAGAGCAGGCAGTGGTGGAAAGAAGCACTTTGTCTGGAGCCCTTTTTGTGTTAAAAGCAGCAAATCTTTTCTCAGCATGATATTCATCCTGTGAAAATGAAGATCATGGGGAAAAAAAAAAGTGGAAGATCTGATTCATTTTTGGAAGCCAAGATTATTGTCTTTCCCAGAGTAAAATGGCCTCTTCATAACCACTGCCAATAGCTGGGAAGGAAGCCAGGCGTGGTGAGGGAGAGATGTGGAGTGAAATGTGCTTGGTGACCTTGCTCACATCCTTGTGCCCGGTGGACCAGGGGCGGGATGGGATGAGTCAAGATGGGATGGGATAAGAGGGGCTGAGCCAAGATGAGATGAGGTGGGATGGGATGGGACAGGATAATGGAGCGAGGCAATGCTGCAGGCTGAGCTTACCTTGGGAGGTTCCTGCAGCACTCCCTCTGGCATCGCTGCCCGGTTCATCTTGGCTATCCTCTGCAGCGTGGCCAGGGCAGCCGCATTATTCCCCGTGGACACATTGTAACGTGCTGACTCAGGTATGAACTGAAAGTGGAGCAGTATTAGAAAGCCCTCCTGCCTCTTGCCTAGCAGCCTGTGCTGTCCACATCCCCTATCCTGCCCAGGAGCCTGACAAGATCAGTGCAAGGTTACGAGTCATTCCTTGGGATGTTCTCTCCAGCTGTCCCCCAGGGAAGCTGCAGTTGGCTGAGAAGATGAAGGGTGATGCCTCTTGGTGACTGGGGAGATGCCAGGTCAGTGGCTGTGGGAAGTGAGGAGAGGCTCTCCCTACCTTGAAAACCATGATGAGAATGATGCCAGGAATGGAGGCGATTCTGATCAGCCACCGCCAGCCAACGGTTGGGTTCACCACTGATGCCAGGCCAATGATCAACAAGGATCCTGCCAACCAGAACACCTTTCCAAGGGAAACAAATGGTTAAAAGGCTTGAACACATGTCAAAAATTTGTTTATTTTCAACCCTTCCCTTGCTGTCTGCAAAGATGAGTTTGGGATGAAGGAAAGAGAAAAGTACAGATCAGAGTCTGGGGAGGGATGTCTAAGAACAGTCTTAATTAGCTCTGGACAAAAACAGGTAACATGTAGCTGCCATTGTACTTAAAGCCTCTTTTGTCCTTCCAGTCACATCTCTGCTAACACTCATGCCTATGAATTTTCTCATTTGAACTTCTTTGGGGATGCAGCAGATGTATAAGTACCAAAGGCAAAACAGGGACAGATTTCCACTGTTGGAGGTTGGTGAGCTTCCAGTGGACTCAATTCCAAGTTGTACCAATGGGGAACCTGGCCCCAAATCTGCAGGTTCCCTTCAAATCTGCAGGTTACCATCAGGAGAAGAGCCCCTTTCGGGGCACCATACAAAGAAGCTCCAGCAGCACAAGTCACAAGCCACAGCAAGTTCATGAGTAATCTATGGGCAGAAACAATACATTCGTGGAGAGAGATGCAAGACTGTCCCTTTTTATATATCTCTGATCTTCTGGAGGCACTTTGGTAATAAACCCCTTGGATCACATACACTAATGAAAAGCAAATTACCCCTTTCACCAAGACTGTATACCAACATTTTCGTTTCAACAGCCAGATGCATTAATGATTTCAGTGAGGCCTTCACAGATCATCTGTGCATGCATAAAGTTCACCTGGCAGAAATTAGAGGAAGGGCCCACCCCAGTCACGTTGGAAGGATGGTCACAGCCCTTCCAGCACATCTCAGGCCTAACTGAGGCCTGCAAAGCAAGGCACAGCCCAGGACCTCATCCAGGAGCCACCTCATTAATCACACGTAATTACCACAATTCAGTCCCAATTGTGCTTGCATTTACCTTATGTGAGATCCCAACACAACCCAGCTGGAGATGTTGAGTTGCCCTGATCAGAGATCCCTCCTCAGCCCACTTTCCTTTTGGCTCATGTTTGCACAAACATTTTTCTTGCTGTGAATGCTGGAGAGAGCCTGATGCACTCCAATGGAAGATGAGTGCAGGAGAAGCCATAAGCACTCTTTGCCTCAAGTAGCCCCTCGCTGACTACTGCATTCCACTTCCCAGTGGAGAAAACAGACACTCTTACTGCAGCCTGAGTGACAGCCCACTGGCACCGACCCCATTAAGGCAGGCAGCACAGTTATCAGAAGGTAACAAAAAGGGCAGATGTCAGCTGTCACTCAAAGTCCCCCCACAGTGTTGGGATGATCCAATTAAGAGAGAAGAAATAGCTTCTTTTCTGCACATAGCTGTCTGTGTGGATCCTTAATAATGCACAGCACGTGCTCCATGGTACAGGAGGCACTCACTCAACCCATGATAAATGCGGATATTCTGGCTTGCTGGAGATCTGCCTTCCAAACAGCAGCACAGCAATTCTGCTGGGAATACAAATGAGAAGAAACCCTAATATGCCCATTCTTACCTGAGATAAGGGCAGCATGTATCCTCGGTACTTGGTAGGCAGAAATTCTGTTTTTATGATAAGCCTAACGAAAAGAAGAGCAAGGCAAATGACAGAGACAACAACGATTTCTGTACCAATCAAAGAACAATTTGTCCGGCTCAGCCATCATCCAGCGTGGATGCCTGGAGACAGAGGGACCACCCTTTTTCCACTGATGTATCGACACTAATTATTTGATATTTCTCTCTGATTGAGGCATTTCTTGAAGCTTAAAGTTCTGCTTTTAGGTTGCAGATGTCCTGCTTATCTATGGTGAACATCCCTCCTGAGACTTGATGTTCCTCTTCAAGATTTTCACAAATAAGAACAGTAAGAACAGACATCCTTGAAATAGAGGCACACGTCCAAGACAGTAACAGTTCAGTAGAGATTGGTCCTTAGAAAACCCAGCCATGTATAAAGTCAGTAGTGGGATACCTCCTGAACAACAACTAAAGACTTGTGCACAAGCACAGAAAACTCAAATATGTTAATATAAACTTGTAGTTGCATAATACCATTGAATAAGTGGGTGGTGAAGCACTGGCACAGATTGTCAAGAAAGCTAGTGGATGTCCACCTGTGGAAACCCCCAAGGTCAGGTTGAACGGGGCTCTGAGCACCCTGATTGAGCTGTAGATGTTCCTGTTCATTGCAGGAGAGTTGGACTAGATGACCTTTAAGGGTCCCTTCCAACTCAAATGATTCTAACATTCTATAATAACATGCAATGGGTAGGTGTGACTTATGTATAAGGTAGGCATATAATGAAAACTCGTGACTTAAATAGAAGCCAATGTGAAGACTTGGGGAACTTGATTTGTGGGGATATCTCACCTTGTGCTCTGCACAGAAATAAAGCAATGTCTCCTCTCTAAACACTTAGTTTTTTTGAATGTGTTTTGGGAAATTTAAAATCAGCAACACCATCACTGGTGTAGAGACCCACACTGACCCTTTCCATCATCTCAGCAGTTGAGGAGCCTTATAAAATATGCAACACCAATGAGGGGAGGAACTGCAAGTTCCTCCTGCCTGCTTTGCCCTGTCCTGGCCTCTAGCAGTACCAGCCTCCCATACTTTGCTTTGATAAAGGGCTTTTTCAGTCAGTGCAAGCTGATTTGTGCTGTGCTGCACAGGCAGTGGGTTTGAAAAAAAATTGTGCATTCAAACAAGTCTTCACAGAGTCTCAAAGGGAGGTGAAGAAGAGGCCACCAGAGGTTTGCTATAGGAGGTCACTGTCTCACTTCCTGGAGAGCCCACAGCCTCTTGCCCTGAATTTCAACACAGGCTATGAGGAACTACAGAATATGCTGAAATATTGCATGTGTTTCCCAGACAGAATCAAAAGAAATCACTTATTTTGTCAGCCTTCTAGTGAGGTGGCATTTAGTACAGTGATCTTCTCCTTCCCTCCCACATCTCCACAATTTCACCCTGACAAGGCAAAAAGTTTAATTTAAGTGGGAAGGTTTTACATCAGTTCAAGAAGAATTTGCTACTCTAAGCAGAATTGTTGTGACCTTTTTACAAGGAAGCAGTCTTTGCTCATCTGTTACCTGTCTAATTGTTTTTATAATATATGTGCTTAATAAGACCTCTGACATTGGCTTAATGCAAACCAGCCCATTCCACTATCCCAGGGCTGAGGAGTCCTTGGGAACTGCAATTTAGGTAGACGGACAACAACCCAATGAAAGAACAGGACAGCATTTTGCTTTAAGGCAATGTGAGAATTTGCTCTCCCTTGCACTTCCAGCCCCCTCAGAGGCCCCTTCCTGGCTGTCTCCTCCAGGTTTCTGCGCAGCCTCAGCTTATCAGGCTCAGTGCACGAGGCACTGGGCGCTCTGCCAAGGTCAGCCAAAATGAGCTGTGGGATCTCTGGGCCCCTGGATGCCTCCTTGGAGGAAGAAAAGCAGAGCCATGCTCTCACTTTATAGAAACAGTCTTAAATAAAGACGATCTAGGATAAGCAGTGGGGACCAAGCACCAAATATTGCCTGCCTGTTCCTTCCCTTTGACTGCAGATGATTCAGAATCATTTGCTTTCATTACATTTCCCCCTTATCCGCAAAGAAAATAACACATTCAAAAACCTGACTTTCTGTGCTTCAGGACTCTCCCCTCCTCCCCTCCTACTTTGTGCTCTTCTGACCCCCAACAGCTCCCACCAGAGTAGGAAAAAGCTGCTAACCTCCCCATGAAGGCTAGTTTGTCCTTGTCCTTGCCATAAGGCATGAAGCATGGCCTTACCCTTGTGCGTGGCCTGATACACCACCTCCCACCATGGTCCTCAGGAAGACGAACCAGACGTAGGAGGGGGCAAATGAGGTCAGCAGGGAGAAATAGGCTCCCCAGAGGAAGGAGAGCAGCAGAATCTGCAAAGGACAAAATTAGGGTAATATAGTCTAGGGTCCTCTCTGTATGGGACAGCACAACAAATATTTTGAAGGTTTTCAGAGGCCAGGGTGCAAGGTAAGAGAGAGACCGGCTCAGCCCTGAGCTCAAGGGGAAAGAAAAGTGCCATGAATGGGCACCATGAAGTTTGTTTTTGTGCAGCCCATCATTCTTTCATGGGAGGAGCAGCTTCCTGGCTTCTAGAAGCTCAGGTATATTGGAAGGGTTTTGAGCCCCATGTGCCAACTCCTCCCGGCAGCAGTGTTACTAGGACACTGCACAGCAAAGAGATAAAGGGGACAGACAATAGCAGGTCCTGTATTTGTCTTGTCAGAGGGCTCAGGAAGAATACATACAGCCCCTGAACCCACTTACCTTCCAGCGGCCATATTGGTCAGCCAGGAGCCCAAGCACTATGCTGAAGACCATGTAGCCAAAAAACACCATCTATGGATGTAGTAGAAATGCTAAGTCACAACCTGAAACAATGATTGAGCATCTGGTGGGAAGGCAGAGCTAACCCAGGGGGAACTCAGGTACATGCAGTGCACCTGAGTGACCTGAACGGGTAGAGTCAGGATCCATCCCTTCCCAGACCTCATTTAAGGGTCGTCAGAGGCAATGAGGGTGTCTTGCTGGAGATCCTTGCATACTAGAGGCCTTTTAGTGGTAAGTAGTTTTTCTTCACTTGTTTCTGAATCTACAGCTGCTGCATTTGGGCTTGTTCCTTTTTGCAGCAGCCTAGGATTGTGCCACTCTGCTATTATTGCTGTACTTTCCATCACATTATAGCATTACAATGGAGAACTGGAAGCAGCTGTGGGGTACTCATTCCCAGCAGCATCAGGCTGCTTTGCTCTTCAAATCAAGTGTCTGTTAAATGCTTCGTAAACAAGAAGATAAATTGCACTGCCAGAGCCATGCATGGTCCTCAAAGTAAAGGGTTATAGGGATTTCCAAAGAATCAGGAAATAGGAGCCTGTACTGGCATTATAGTTCTTGTTGTGGTTGTGTGCTCATGTCATATTGTTCTCTTGATTTCTACAGTTGTGTCACTGCTCTTGTCCCTGACAGGAGGTCTTGGAATTTATTTGGCGCTTTGGGAAATGTACATTGTTAAGCCTGGGGTGGTGCCATGTACAGTCCCCGTGCGATGGATGACCTGCATGGTGAGGAGGAGTCACTCACTGTTGTCACAAGAGCCACCTGCCAGTCTTGAAGCTGCCACTCACATCGGATGAGAGGGGACACAACAGCTATCAGCATGATCTCCATGGCTTCAGCCACCTTTAGGAACAAGTATATACATTAACAAGAAGGGAAGCTGTGAGGATCCCATGAGAGAAAGGCCCCTAGCTATGCCAAGCCTGCAGTCATGGAGGTGTCACATGCTGCAACAGGCTCTGTGAAGCTGTGGTGCCTTGGTGGTCTCAGCCCTGAGCGTGGTCTGCAAGACATTCCCACTTGGGGATGGGGAGAGGAGACAGGATGGAAGGAAGCTGCACCTAGAGAGTGGATATCTAGGTACAGTACAGAATCATATAATCATTAAGGTTGGAAAAGACCTCTAAGATCATCCAGTTCAACCACCAACCCATCTCCACCATGCCCACTAATCGTGTCCCCTCAGTGCCATGTCTACATGATTCTTAAATACCTCCAGGCATGGCAAATTCACCACCTCCCTGGCAGCCCGTGATGGTGCAGCACCACTCTTTTGGAGAAGAACTACTTCCTAGTACCCAACCTGAATCTCCCCTGATGCAACTTAAGGCCGTTATTTCTCATGCTATTTCTATGACTTGATAGAAGAGGCTGACACCTACCTACTATAACCTCCTTTCTGGTCACTGTCAAGAGCAAGCTTGTACCCAGAAAGTCTGAAAGGACTTTCAACCAGATGTGCTGATGGAAAGTACTGGACAGCAAGCTGCTTTTATTTTAAGTACCTGTCTGTGAATCTGGGCATCTAGAACAATCTCTTAAAATTATTGTTATTAAAAAAATAATAATAAAATTACTGACTGTTTGTTCCTGGCAGCTGGCTTTGGTTAAGAAGTAAGCCCATCATTCATAGTTACAGACCTTCCTGCCTCAGCTGTGGTGATCCTGTGGCTATGTCCCCATCACAGCTTCACCCTAGCCTGGCTCCAGTTTCCAAACCAGATGTTTTACCACTGTTTTACTGTTAACTCAGCACCCTCGCACGTCGTTAGTTGGGAAGTAACCCTGGTTACTTGGTCCAGGTAACCCTGAACCTCTGCGGTCAAGGGATGGAACTCCAGGGCAGGGGACAGGCCAGGATGCCCTGGGTCAACCTGTTTGCTTTTGCCTTGAAACAGGCTCAATATCAGAGTTGGCCAATGCTGATTTTGGTCAAAGTTGACACAAGCAGGAATCCTGCTTGAGAAGGTATATGTGGGAAAAAAATGTGCTGCAATATGTTTTTTTTGTGGTGATTTGTAGTTGTTATTGCAAAGTAATAAAGAAAATGAGGGGAGTGTTTCATCAGGCTGGTGGTGTTGGTTGCAAACACTTACCCCAGTGCTTCCCATGATGAGAAAAAGTGCAATGTGGAACCTCCCAAACCCAATGGTTTCCACAGCTTCTTCCACTGTAAATGTCTTCTGCCCTGAACACAAATGGGAAAGAAAGACACAAAAATATATATATCAGTTATTAAATAGTACACCCTCAGGTTTTATGAAATGGGAATGTTTTACATGCAACCATGGGGCTGTGCCAGGAGAAAGGCTGGAAACTCTCACTTGCCCTGGTGAGGGTGGTGTGGGCTATGGCTTGGGGCTTCCCCAGACCCACAAGAGTCACTGCCACTGCAGTAAGCACAGCCATGGGCTCTGGGCTCAGTGTTGTCTCTTCCTAAATTTTTTCTCCCATTAAAGGGACAAAGCAAGTCCAGTGCTGGGATGGATTTATAAATAGAGCTGCCAGAAAGCTTTCAGTGTCTACTTTCAACATCATATTTAAGTAAAGTCAGACCTATGTAAAATTTTCCATCAGAACACTTATCTCCCAACTAACTCAGGACAAATCCTGAGACTGCACAGAATTTCAGGAGAAAATCATAAATTTTTTCCCCACGTTTTCTGTTTTGATGCTTCTCCACTGAAGTTGAAAAATGAAAGAATTACCAGAGGAATACATCGCTTACACAAAACAGTGGCTGAAAAAAAACAAAACCAGCAGCTCTTCCACTGCCACTGCTAGCAGCCTAGCAGCTGTAGTGGGAGAGAGGAAGTATGAAGCTGATGTCTGAGGTCCAGGTAACTGGAGTGCCAGAAGCCTCCCTCTACCCTGCTTCATGAGGGCCAGCATTTCTGGTCCAGTCAACACAAACACACCTTTGGGGGGTTCTTGTCCCTCCATGTGGATTTCCTCCAAGGCAATAACGTTTGCTGCCTCTTTTGGTGCAGCGGCCATCTCAGCTGCTACTGGGATCCACCGTAACTGTTGGAGAAGGACAGGATTTAATCATGAAACCTCTGGACCCCTGGAGGGTCATAAAGCCACCTTAGTAACCGTACAGAAAAGGAGTTTTCTGGGCTGGTGTGGAAGCAATCAGATACATTCTTACACAGATTTGTTTCAGAGAACTAGAATGAAATGACCTTTACTCCAAGTTGGTTGTTTTTTGTTTGTTTTTTGTTTTCTTTGTTTGGTTTTGGTAGGAAATACACAGAATCATAGAATCATCAAGGTTGGAAAAAACCTCTAAAATGATCTTGACCAACCATCAGCCCATGCCTGCTGACCATGTCCCTCAGTGCCACACGGTTCTGGAACACCTCCAGGTGATTCCACCACTTCCCTGGGCAGCCTGTGCCACTGCAGCACCACTCAGAATAAATTGTTTCCTAATATCCAACCTGAGCCTCCTCTGGCACAACATTCCTTCTTGTCCTATCACTGTTACCTGGGAGAAGAGGCTAACCCTTACCTTGCCACAACCTCCTTTCAGGTTACTGTAGAGAGCAACAAGGTCTTCCCTGAGCTTCTCTTCTTCAGGCTGAACAACCCCAACTCCCTCAGCTGCTTGCCATCAGACTTGTGCTCCAGACCCCTCACAGCTTTGTTGTCTTTCTCTGGACACACTCCAGGCCTCTGTGTCTTTCTTGTAGTGAGGTGCCTAAAACTGAGCACAGCACTTGAGATGCAGATTCACCAGTGCTGAGTACAGGGGGATGATCACCTCCCTGCTCCTGCTGGCTGCAGTATTTCTGACACAGGCCAGGATGCCATTTGGCATACCTGGGCACACTGCTGGCTCATGTTCAGACAGCTGACCACTACACCCCCAGATTCCTTTTCCTCCATGCAGCTTTCCAGCCACTCTGTCCCAAGCCTGTAGAGTTGCCTAAGGGTTGCTGGCATCACAAGGCGGCGTAGCTGATCTGACAAATCAGTCATTGCATTGCTCTGGCTGTTTTCATGCAAAGTCCAGAGAATGAGAGAAGATGCAAGAGCTTGTGTAATGGCTTCCCCATCCTGGACATGCAAAGAAAGTCAAAAGATGCTTCACAATCTCCAAGAGCTGAGAATTGACAGTGATCAACAGTAAGTTGTCCCTCTCAAAGGTGGAAGTGTCTCTTTTAGGAGCTGGGGCCCAGTGAGCTGTAGAGGTGCTGCACTCTGTAATTGCTCACGTTTTTGAGAGCATGCAAGAGCATGAAGCAGAGCCAGTGGCAGGAGCTGGGCTGCCCAGCCTGCTCCCCTAGCCCTGGCTTCCCAAGGATAGTACACCTGGCAAGTACGCACCTAGCTCCTTCTTGCCCAGCCCAGCCTTGCCAGCCTTGCTTCCCACAGGACATATGGCCCTCTGCCTCACCCCACTGCATCAATCCCCATCCACTTATGGCAGCAAGAAACAACAACAAGCTCTGCATTGCTACTGGCTTGCTCCTGCAGAGGGTCTGGTTTCCAATGCTATGTCTTTAAGTCTGATCACAGATTTTTTTCCTGATAAGAAAATCTCATCTTAATCCCATGGGAGGGATTAAGCACACAGCAAGCTTTATCCCCCAAGCTTTCCTGCTGAGAACATGCAGTGACTCTTGCAGGGGGGGCTCAACTCATCTTTAGTTTAAAACCTCTTCTTCAGTGATCTCCATCCAGAGCTGCTGGACTTGGTGAGAAAGTGTTCAGTGCTGCCCCACAGGAGTCATGGGGCTGGAGAAGGGCAAGGAATGCACCTAGTCATAGAATCATAGAATTGCTCAGTTTGGAAATGACCAAGAGCATTGGTAATGAAAGGTACAAAATCTCATCTGAGACAGAGGGCAGCATAAGCATAAAAAGCACAGAGTTACAGTGCTCCCAGCTGGGCACATTGTATGGAGGTGCAGTTAGAAGGAGGTCATTAAGGGCTAATAGCAGTTCAGTTGGGTAGGTCAGATACACTGACCTTACTGTTATAGATCATTACAGCCCAGGATCCCAGAGGACATGCACAATATTGCTCACTACTTCCTCTCAGCACCATACTCGCAGGCAGTGGTAGCTGCCAGCAGCACATGGTGCCAGCAGCTGATCATGCTGGCCATCATCTGCAGATCATTTCTAACTGGAACCAGCTCAACAGCAACCATGTAAGGTGTCTGGAAGAGCCCACAGGAAGACATAATGGCTCATTGTGTGGCTGAAACACAAAGGGCTTCACAGAAATGAAACCTGGGGTCCAGTTTTGCTCCTTGCCTGATCCTTTATGATTAGATCCTGCAAAACAACCTTCTGTAAGTCTCTTTATCACGACTCTGCCTGGCTCAACAACTGTACCTCTCCAGAGCCCACAGCATGCACAGCTCTGGGCCCCAGCAGGCCAGGCTGGGACATGCCTGGGACAAAGGGAAAGCATTGGGCTCTGATCCACCTCCATGCATGCCAGATGGACTATAACTGCAAGCCATAGCACCGTGGAAGTCTGAAGCTAGAGTATTCTGCTAACATTTGCTGAGAGGCACTCAAGCATTTGATTGGTGCTCACTGCTCTGGATTACGTGCAACCAGGATGGGAAGAACTGAGGTTCTTCCAAAAATAGGGAGGAAATGGTGAACCTTATGCTATCACACAGGATCCATCAGCAAGGGTCAGGTGCTTGAGCACAAGGGTGCACAGCTACCTCCAACACTCTGTAGCGGCTGAGACCCCTGGAGGTGTCAGGATGACATCTATGGGATACCTCCACAGCTCTCAAACAGCAGTGGGTGAGCAAGTGGGACACCTGCTGTAGCACCTCAGGTACTACCAGAAATAGGTCCATATATCTTCATCTGCCTCATGGCCAGACTACTGGGGCAGCCTGAGCAAAATTCACTTGCACATAAGCAGGTGAGAAGCCAGTGTTCAGGTGAGTCCTTGACACTGTATGCTCTGCTCTAGCATTTGTCTCCAAAAGACAGGTTTACATGTAAGACTTTGGTAAATCTCCTGAGAGTTCCTACAAAGAGCATAGGTTAGTCATTGCAAACACTTGCAGACCTACTTGCCCTTATGAAGCTTCTCATGTCTGTCAGAGCTCTGTGGGGAGTCACGAGGAAGAGTTTCCTGCTATTTGTAAATCACACTGAAAATACTAAATGGTAACTACACGAGCCAAAAAACAGCAGTGCCAAAGCTGTTGCTGGCAAGGAAAATAGCAGTCCTCCACCAGAAGGGAGTAAAGTGAAACCACTGCAGGGTCCTAGCAGCAAGATGACATGATGTATGAATGATCAGATACTCCCAATCTTAAATCAAGGCTCAACTAGATTTCTTGTTTTTCTCAGGTTTTGGGTTTTTCTGAGTGAAGTTTTCTTACCTCTGAAATGTCTTGGTCACAGAGGAGCAGAACTTTCCTCCCTTACTTCTGCCTCTTTCTCTTCTGTTTTCTTTCCTCGTTGTGCTGGCATCGCTGTGTGTTTGGAATCCAGCTGTAGGGAGTCAGATTTCTTCCTTACTAACTTTAACTTCCTTACTAACCTTACTTACAGTCAGGTCCCTCCCCAGCAGTAGGTTGTACAAGGAGGGGTGCCCTGTGTCACAGGGAGTGTGAATTCAGCTGGTTCCTCTGCACCTACAGGTGCCTCTGTGGGAGTAGCCCACTATGGGTGATGGTGCTCACTCATGTTTTTTGGTGGGGAGGAGGGAGATCATGGAGTCATTAAAATTGGAAAAGACCTATAAGATCTCTTGTCTCATCATCAACCCATCTTTACCATACCCACTGACCACATCCCTCAGTGCCACATCCACCTGGTCCTTGAACACATCCAGGGATGGTGACTGTCTCAGCAGCAGGAGATGGAGAGTGGACAGTGAAGATATGACCCTGTCACAACGCTGGTGAGATTGTAGGGGACAAGTTTCAGAGAGCAGATCCCACAGTGCTAACACCCAGGTAAAGGGGTTTTGCTGCCCTGTGCAAAGCCATGAGCTGAGCCCGGCCGCTGTTGTAGATACTAGCTGCCCCAGGCCAGCTGAAGCCAGGTGCCATTATCACAAAGAAAACAGGGCCTGTTCATTAGCTTCATCTCTCTAAACTTCCTAACCAATGAGTACCCATGGCTAGCAATGATTCTGACCTTGACACAGCAAATATCAATACTGCAGGTTGTGCTGACCAGTAAAACCAAGCTATGATATACAAGTGCTCTTGACTTGGAGTATGCGTGCTGATCTTTATTTCTCAAATATGTTGGCTTGTGTGGAGTTGATGGTGTTTTTTGTCTCCTTCCCATGAGAGTTCCCCAAATCCTTCTCTTTTGAAATATGTTCACCATGCTGACAGCAATGCTGTAGGAGTTTTATCAAAGCATGGAACTTTCATGCTGAGTTTCACACTTCCAAGCATCAGGAATGCATTTGCTGTCAGCTAACATATGCCATTTCACAGCCCTATTTTACATCTTCCTTTTAATAAGATCTGATATTCAGTCACAGCCATTATTGACAACTGCTAAACTAAATGCAGGATGCAGGCTGCTAAATCCATACCTTACACTTTCATTTGCAAGAACTCAGACACTATGCATGCAATCACAGAAGGGTACTGAAGTGTTGGCGTTTCAACTCCTCATTGCAGGAGGGAAAGGATGGCCAAAATTCCAGTAAAAGTCTCAGCTGCAGAGATATGCTTTCAGATGTTTGGGATTGAACAAAGGCATGTTATCTATTACTTTTTTTTTTTTTTAATCCACCTCATGATATTTTAATTACTTGTAACAGAAATGCAAATAAACTGGTCATAGTGGAACGTGAATGGGAACATCCACATGTATGAAAGTTCCAGGAGAAACAAGAGAGTGAAGGGGAGAAGAAAGACCTTCACAGCTGGCCAGGGACATGACAGACAGCTATCACATAGGTGAATACTGAGGAAGGTGCTGTCTGCTGCAGGAGCCAGAGGCTCCAAGAAATTCCTGAAGACTATAAAAACTTTCTCCACAAACCAGTCCATCATTACTGATCCAGCATACATAAGGGACTGGACAAGAACATGGGACCTGGCTATCTTTATTCCCCATGTCACAGGTCATCTTGGTGGGAGGGCCCGGCCACACACAGCTCTGGCTCTCATAAGGAGGAATCATAGAATCATACAATGGCCTGGGTTGAAAAGGACCACAATGATCATCTAGTTTCAACCCCCATGCTGTGTTCAGGGTCACCAACCACTAGACCAGACTGCCCGGAGCCACATCCAGCCTGGCCTTGAATGCCAGGGAAAAAGGGATGGGGCATCTACAACCTCCCTGGGCAACCTGTTCCAGTGTGTCACCACCCTCTGTGTGGAAAAATTCCTCCTAGTGTCTAACCTGAACCACCCCTGTCTCCATTTAAGACCATTCCTCCTCGTCCTATCACTATCCAACCTCCGTAAACAGCCATTCCCTCTCCTGTTGACAAGCTCCCTTCAAGTACTGGAAGGCCACAATGAGGTCTCCCCAGAGCCTTCTTTTCTCCAAACTAAACAAGCCCAGTTCCCTCAACCTTTCTTCGCAGGAGAGGAGCTCCAGCCCTCTGCTCATCTCAGTGCCCTCCTTTGGACCTGCTCCAAGACTCCATATGTTTCCTGTACTGGGTTCCCCAGGCCTGGAATGCTCCAGTTGGGGCCTCCAGATGGGGCCTCACATCTTGTAGAGGTCTTGCTGAGTAGAGGGAGACAACCACCTCCCTCTCCCTGCTGGCCACCCCTTTTTATTGCAGCTCAGAACACAGTTGGCCTTCTGAGCTGCAAGCGCACACTGCTGGCTCACATCCAGCTTCTCGTCCACCAGGACCCCCAAGTCCTTCTCCGCAGGACTGCTCTCAAGGAGCTCTTCCCCCACTTTGTATAAATACCTGGGATTGCCCCAACCTAAGTGCAGCACCCTGCACTTGGCCTTATTGAACCTCATTAGGTTTTCATGGGCCTACTTCTCCAGCCTGTCCAGATCCCTCTGCATGGCTTCCCATCCCTCCAATGTATCGACTGCACTGCTCAGCTTGGTGTCGTCTGCAAACTTGCTGAGGGTGCACTTGATGCCATCGTCTATGTCATTGATGAAGATGTTGAAGAGCACTGGCCCCAAGACCGACCCCTGAGGGACACTGCTTGTGACCGGCCTCCACCCTGACACAGAACCATTGATCACAACATTTGGCTGCATCCAGCCAGCCAATTCCTAATCCATTGAAAAAAAAAACAGGAAAAAAACAATCCAAAAAGAGTGAGTGTGAGTGACTGAAATCAGTTTGACTTTGTTACCACGTTCTTCTCCTATGCGGCCATTCACTGAGGTTTTTTGTATTAATTTTCTACAAAATTATGTAGCTCATGTCATCAGCCCTCAGAAATAAACACCCTCCTAGCAATGGATGCAGAGGCAGCTCTTTCTCTTAGGTTAAAAATTCCCAGTAAAGTTCTGGAAGTCACACGTCTTCCATCAGTGGGTAAAAGCCCAAACAATGACAACAGGGTGTTGTACCAAGGTCCACCAGTCTGTAATGGCGATCTCTTCTGGATCTGACTACATCTGGTGCCCATGTTCACAGCACCAACTAGAAAATCTGATCTCATTCAGCCTAGCAGCTGTGCTGGGGAATGGGCAGTCACTGCTCTGCCCAAAAGTACCTAAATACCAGAATTCCTAATACTGAACCCGAACCTCTCCCGGCACAACTTGATGCCATCACCTCCAGTCCTATCACTGTTAGCCAGCCCTCTCCCATCTCGCTACAACAATCACTGTTCAGTGCAGTAAACAACAGACAATTTTGACACCTGCAGCGTTCATGGGATAACTTGTTTTTCTTGCTTTAAATATAAACCCAAGACAAAAAGTATAACACCCGGAAACTCCAAAAGGAATAGGTATTCTGTTTCAGGTAATGGTTTCAGGTAATCACCTTCTCAGTTATACTGCAATCACATGGAAATGTGCAATAAGGATAAAATTTGCACTTGTGCAGAAAATCCCCCCACTGTTTCACAAAGCAAACTTTTATCTGTTTGATAATGCATCCAACTATCTTGGCCTTTCTTGCTTCAAAACATCTTTTCTCTCAAACCTCTACAGAATAGGAATAAACTAATTAGATTGGAGTGAGGAAACAAAGGCGATGTCCATACACTGAGCCACTGTGAGACCAGCTGGAATGACAAGAACCACAAGTTACCCAGTCCTGAAGAGCCAGAGCCATGAAACCACATGTACCCTGGACACATGCCTGTACCCACTCTTTCTTCTCTCAGCTCTAACTCCAGCTCCAAGTCTAAGCTGCTCTTAGAATGAAAAATATTGCTGACTGTTGGCAGCCAGTGCCCAATGCCACTACAGTTTCTTGGCAATTCAAGAGAAAAACAGAACAGAACAACTGCTTTGCCTGAGGATGTGTGTTCTGTCAACACAGCAGGAAGGTGACTCTCAAGGCTGACCACTGCAGTCTCATGGCCCATGAAAACTCCTCCGATGCACTTGCTGCTGGGAACCCTCAACAGTTCTTAAGTGGAGTTGAGTATTAGGAATCATAGAATCATAAAATGGCTTGGGTTGGAAGGGAGCTTAAAACCCAAGCAGTTCCAACCCCCTGCCATAGGTAAGGCTGTGAACCAGCAGATCAGGCTGCCCAGGGCTCTGTCCAACCCAGCCTTGAATGCCTTCATGGATGGGGCACCCACAACCTCTTTGGAGGGAAGCAAAACATTCCATGTCCAAAACATTCCACGTGTCATGTTGGGGTTTTACATCCTCCAGGCTTGAAAAAATAGCCTGTCTTGATTAATACTATTCAGTTTGAAAAACCGGCAGTTCATGAATATTTTAAAAAGATCATGGTACATCAACACTGTGAATTCATCTCAAATGTACTGATTTCCCTCTTCCCTCTGTTCATTAAGTATTAGCATTACTACATGATCTGTTTTAGCAACCCATCTTGAGAAATACAGCACAGGAGGAGTCATTTTAAGTTTCCAGTGTGAAACAAGTCCATAGAGAGAAATAAATTGGCTGCCAGTGTGGAAACTACTGCACTTTTTTGGTTTACACAGCTCAAAACCAATGCTTTTGTTAAGTGATGACGTGTGCAAACTTCTATAATCTCACATTGTCAAGACCTGGTGCAAATCAGATAATAGGAGGGTTCTTGTAGTAAAGCATGTAGAAAATTGCCTGCCTGCAATATCATCTGTCCATGAGTAGTTTTGCATTGTTTGTGCAATGAAGGGCAGCAGTCTTCTAAGAGAATTAATCATTGTGAAATGGTCAACCACAGCTTCAAACAACAGCTGAAACGTTTTCCCTGTAGAGAAATAAGCCACAAAGACAAGTGGAGCAAAACACATGCAAGTTGATTATTAATAACCAATTTAATTCAAAAGAAGTGCATTGCTTCTTTTTAACCAAGCACTGGGCAGCTGATC